GGGATGTGTGGGTCTGTGTGTGGGTGGGTATGGAGTGTCTGGGGGTCTGTGAGGTGTGTGGAGGGAGAGGGTGGCTGGGAGTGTACGTGTGAGTCCGTGTGTGCTGTGGGATGGATGTGGGTAGCAGGTTACATGGCTCCCCCCAGAGGCATGCGCACGTGACTGTGGAGGGTGTGGGTGGGTTCAGTGTTTGTGGGGTGTGTCATTGTGTGGGGTAGAGAGTGTGGCTGTGGGTATGATGGCATGTGCATGGTAGCCCCCTTGCAAGTGCCCCCCTGAGCCAGTCAGTACCTGTCCCTGCCCTGCAACAGCCTGGAGCTGGCACACCCTATGGCACCTCCTCGTCACCACCAACAGTGTGGAGCCCCAGCACAACCTGCATCCAGCACTCACCAACCTGCCATGGCATGTCCTGCCACCCCTGGGCATATAGCAGGGCTGGGGCAGCTCCGCAGCTGAACTGCCTTTCTAGGTAGCCTGGGCAGTGGCAGCTCCTTCTGGGTGCCAGCATCAATAGCCCCAGCCTCTGGTACCAGTGAGGACCAGTGAACACAGCCCTGACTCAGCGTGCCCCATGCCTGCTCTGGACTTGCCTATTCAGGCTGAGCAGTAGCGGCAGCAGTGGTGCCAAGCAGAAAAACTGTTGCTTGGCATGGGGTAAAAGCAGCTCCCCCCTCACCACTGCCAGACAGTTGTTGCTGCAGCCATCTGGAACCCGCACCACCTACATCTCCATCACTGCTGCCTCTGGGCTGCCCACTAGGGCAGTGGTGACAGTGCAGAGCAGCTGCAGGGCAGCCCAGAGGCGGCAGTGATGGAGACACAGAGCAGCCCGGCATGGTGCGGGCTCCAGGCAGCTACGGCAAGAACTACCTGGCAGTGGCAAAGGAGAGGAGCTGCTTTTCAATGGCAGCCGGAAGGAGCTGCCACTCCCAGGCTTCCTAGAAAGGCAGTCCAGCCATGGAGCTGCCCCAGCCCCAGAGGGCAGCAGGATGTGCCATGGCCAGGTGGCACCAGACAAAGCTCTTCTGTGGACCAGATCCAGCCCACTGGCTGTATTTTGCCCACCCCTGATCTAGAGTCGGTACTAAGCAATGGGCAGTAGCTGTGTCAGGCACTCTTTTCAGCCTTCCCATGTGACTGAGGGCTGAGGCAGTGCATTGTAAAGGACTTTCTTCGGATAGAGTTATTATTCTGCCCTGGGCGTGCAAGTTGGCTTGAAGATGGCCCATGATGTCAGGGCAAGGGCTAGGCTGGGCTAGAGTGATGCTTTGTTTTTAATGGCTTGTGCTGCAGAGAATCCAAGACCTGGAACTCCTTACTTGCTCACTCAAGCAAGAGAAGCAGGTGGCCCTAGAAGACCTGCAGACGTTGCTTCAGGAGGAGAAAATGGAAGCATTACAGAAACTTCGGGAGGAACTGGAGCAGGTGGGAAGACAGATATAAGAGCTATCTAAGGAGGCAGGGGAAATGCTTTGGTCTCGCATGCCTGTCACTGGGAGTGAGGTATGATGAGTTAAGAGGCACAGTGTCAGGGCAGACCCTATTATGAGAGCCCCAATGGCATTGCTGGCCAGGAGGGAAGCTGCTGGCATCTGACTGATTTGCCTGTTACACTGGCAAACTGGGCTTTGCTGACAAACTGAGCTTTGGAAGGGATACAAACATTCACCTCAAGCAGTAGCAATCCA